AATTCTTAAACGTTTAAAAAAGAGGAAAAAAAGTCTGTAAGGTATGCCTTAATGCATCCGGAATCAATCAATCGTTAAGTCAACAAATATTTATCAAGCACCTTTTCTGTGACAAGGACTGATTTGGACATGGGGAATACATCAGGGAACAAAAGAATCAAAGATCCTTGCCCTCATGGAGTTTATTTCTAGAGAAAGGAGATGATAAAAACTAAAAGTAATAAGCAATGTATACATTAAGTCAGAAGAAAAGAAGCGGTATGAAAAATAAGAGAGAGGTAAAGGGTATCAGCAGTTGGAACAGTGCAGGTTATAGTTTTAAATAAAATGGTTGGCATAAACCCCCTTGGGAAGGTGATATTTGTGTAAGACTTGAAGGAAATGAGTTAGCCAAGCAAATATCTAAAGGAGAAGCATACCAGGCAAAGAAAATAGGTAAAGCAAAGAACTTAAAGTAGGAACATGCCTAATGTGTTTGAGAAATAGGACTCCAGTGAAAGCAAAGAAGAAGGGGATTGAAAAGAGAAAGAAAATAGTCAAGAAAAGTGGAGGCTGGATTATATAGGGTCTTGTAACAATTTTGCCTTTTACTCTGAGTAAAAGTCAGAATCCACAGCAGGTTTTCAGCAGGGAATCGATATTATTTGCCTTACATTTTTGAAGGGTTACATTGGCTATTGTAAGGAGACTAGACAGTAGGGAGGCAAGGACGGGAGCAGGGAGACCTCTGGTAAGACCCTCTAGAGGCAGATGAGAAATGACAGAACTCAAAGCAGAGTGTTAGCAGAGAAGAGGTGAGAAGTTGTAGGATTCTGCATATACTTCCTGATAGATTGCAAATAGGATATGGAAAAGAGAAAAATAAAGGATAACTCAAATGTCTGAGACCAAAGGCATGAACAGCTGAAGGATGAAATCACCATCAACTGAGGCAGTAAAGGCTATAGGTGGCACAGAAAGGGGCAAGGAGAAATTGGGAGTTCAGTTTTGGGCGTGACTTTGAGGTATCTATTAGGCATCCAAGGAAAGAGTTGAAACGAGAAGTTCAGCGTAATTGGAGTTTGGAAGGAAGATCTCGGCTGGAGACACTGTAGTCACCAGCATAGCATAGTATTTAAAGCCATAACACTGGTTGAGATCACCAAGGAACTGAGTACTGATAGAGAATAAAAGAGGACCAAGGGTCTCTCACATGGCAACATTAAGATGTTAATGCTGAGAGGAAGCCAGCAAAAGAAGATGGAAAGGGAGCAACTAGGGAGGGAGGAGGGAAACTAGGAGAGTGTGGTGTCCTGGAAGCCAAGTGAGGACAGGGTTTCGAAGAGAAGCCAGTCATACTTGTGTCAAATGCTGCCAATATATCAAATGAGATGAGTGATGAGAGTTAGCCTTTGAATTTAGCAAGTGAAACTTTAGAATTGTACGTAATATTGCCCTACTCTTGCCATTTGCTCTGATAGCTTTGGTGGTCTTTGGTACCACATTACCCAGAGAGCCAACTGTGCTGTCAAGATGCTATTAGCCTGTGGGATTATTGGTTCTTTATTTGTACATTGCAGAGCAGCAGTACAGAATCTAAACTTTTCTTTAGAAAACTATGATTGCTATAGTTCTGTATAGTATGTGCTTATGTTTAAACTCCTATTCATCTTAAATTATGTTATGCAAAAGCCCACCTGACAGTTTAGACAACAGATGGAAATTTAAATTTTTTAGACAAAAATATTCCTTTGGAGACCTAGCTATGCAATTTAGTGTATTTTATGTAATATGATGTAAGACGATGACATTTTAAGTGCTATGATTTTTTTTTTTTTATTTCAGTTGGAGAATTCGGGCACCTATACTTGTGTTGCGAACAATGCTGCAGGTGAAGATACACACACCATCAGCCTGACTGTACATGTTCTTCCCACTTTTACCGAACTTCCTGGAGATGTGTCATTAAATAAAGGAGAACAGCTACGATTAAGCTGTAAAG